CTTATTATTTTGTTAATCCTACTGATTCTCCAGCTATAATGAAAAAACAGAGACCTATATTACATCAGTTTATTAGACATTTACTTTATAATGAGCTAAAAGATGCACCTGAAAAGGAGAACATAATTCTAGGTCTCCTTAAACAAATGGACTGGGAAAATGTTGCAGAGAAAACTTATTTGATAAAATGTTTGACTGAAGCATGGAATGTCACGTATCCAATGATTTCAGATTTGGCATGTTTAGTTGCCGCTTTTGTTGATTATGATGATTCAATTGGAACACGTGTCGTGGACGGAGTGATGGAGGATATCCGTGTAGGTCTAGAAACAAACTTAGTGAAATTTAATCAAAGGAGAATAGCTATGATCAAGTATTTTGGAGAGCTATACAATTATAGACTAATAGAAAGCAATGATGTGTTCAAAGTGTTGTATAGTCTTGTGTCATTTGGTGTAGTGTATGATCCAGATTTTTATTCCACATTTGATCCTCCTGAAAATTTATTTAGACTGAGACTTATATGTGTTTTACTTGATACTTGTGGTGAGTTCTTCAATCGAGGACCTGGTAAACTTAAATTAGATTGCTTTATTTTATATTTTCAATATTATTTTTGGTTAAAAAAATCAAGTACTACTTGGGATACTCAAAATCCTTTTCCTGTTACAGTAGATTACTTAGTTACAGACATATTAAAAAAACTTAGACCTAATTTGAAGATGAAAAACTGTTTTCTTGAAGCTCAAAAGGTAGTTATTCTACTTCAAGAAAGACTTATTCAACAGTATAATCTCAAACAAAAAGAAGAATCTCAACTATCAACTATTGATGAAGAAGCTGATGACAGACAACATTTGGAAGAGGACGACTCAGATGTAGATTATACAGAAGATGAAGATAGTGATGGTACTGTTTGTAGTGATAAAACTCCAGTTGAGCCTGTCCGTCGTAAAATTGAAGACCCTGAAGACTTTGAGTTTTTGGAATCTTTTGATAAAATGGTCAGTGATAATATACAAGAAAGGACAAAAGAAGCAACACGTCCACAAACAGAAATATCAATACCGTTCCATTTAAAGAAATACAGTAAAAAAACATATGAGCAGTTACAGAACACTAATGAAGATAACTCTGTAAATTTTATATTGATGTTGAAAAAAGGAAACAAACAAACGTTCAAGAGCTTGCAAGTGCCAGTAGATTCTGAATTGGCATCTAATTTGAAGAGCCAAGAAATGGCTGAACAGGCCGAGTTAAGAAGAGTAAAGCAATTGACTCTGGATATCAACAATAGACAAGAAGAGGAAGATTATAAAGATTTGGCTCAAGTAATGCAGAAACCAATTACTACTGCTTTTAAAGATAAAAAGCCACTACCAACCAAAGGAACACCAGACCCAGAGACAATATTTGGGAAGAAAAAAAGGTTATCTTTGAAATATTTCATCTAGTCTATATTATATAATATGCTGTCTGTATAATACACATACTCATGTTATAGAGTATGATATAGACAATTTTAAAATTTATGACTTAACTAGGTTTGTTTTTAACCCGCCACTGAGCCATATTGTACAATTTATCTTAGCAGGCTCTAATCAAAAAATTCAATATTTCTCTGTGTTAAGATATCTTACATGTGATACAATTAAGAGAAATGATAAATAGTAAATACTTCTTATTATTTGAAATTTAATTTAATTATATTATGATTATGTTGGTATGTTGATGGCTAAGATGTGCTTTAATGAGATACATACTGTCAAATGATACTGGAATTAAATTTTTACTACCTACATAAACATAATATCGTTAAAACAAACAAAGTGTGGACAATGTTATAAAAATTACATTTAAAAGATCTTTAGGAAATCCTAAAAGATTCTAAAGAAATCCTATTAATCTGTAATAATAATTATTAACTGTGCTACCTACTTTTAAATATAATTAATATTTACTTTTATTTAAATGTTATGTCACATTATATAAAAAAAATATTGAATACAATGGGGATGGTCACCTTGTGGTGGGGTGATAACGAACAAGTACCCTTAACTTTATTGTTCATATTTATTGAATTTAAATTTTAAGAAATTACAATTTAAAACAGTAATATAAACATTTGTATTTGTGGATATATTGACAGTTGTGGGAAATTATCAAGTAATTATTAGGCCCTATTCTTGATATCATATGAACATAAACCCCATTAAAAAGTGCAAAGTACAATACCTTCCATGTATTTAAAAATAACAATAAATGCTGTTCATATGCAGTCATGAACAGAGGCAATAGTTACGTTCATTATTAAATATTATGTACTAATTTTTATTCTTTTTTTCTTTTATTTTAAAGTGACAAATGGGTTTAATTGGATGAACAAATAGCTCCATGTTTGGTCCAAGTGCAACAGGAAATACCCAAATTATTTGTGATATTAATTTAAGGTATAATATTTGTAAATATATAATAATAATAATAAAATATATTTTTAAAAAGTAATTTTTTTCAGCAGTTCCATAAAGAAGTACAAGTTAACACAATTAATTATAATAATATGTTTATTTATTTAATTATTTTTTGTTCCAGTAAAAATAATGATTATTATTGTTAAAAATGTATTAATTTAATATCTAAATATGTTATAATACTTTGAATACAATTTATCGAACTGTGGTTCTAATAAACTTTATTTTTTTATTTATAATTTATGGAATATAATTATAATTCTTGTATATTTTTAACTATACTGTTACTGTTGCTAGACGGATAATTACTTATATAACTTTTGTCCCTGACAATAATTGACTGATAAATTCTTAATTCTAATTTTACATTTTAACTGCATAATAAAATACATCTTTACTATTTTATTTTATGCAAGAATAATGAGATATAAATATTCTTCACTTCACTTTAAATTTAAATACTGTTTGTTTAATGTTACAATTTTTAAATTATTATATATTTTTTTAACATTTAAAACCTAAATTATTAAGTTTCTGATGAAAATAATGTTTTAAGTAGCTGAATATTAATACTGTTGTTAATCACATTCTAATTAGATTGTACATTTGTAAATATATACGATTGTCTGTTGGTATATTAATGTTATTATATTTTAATTTAAGAACACAAGCTTATTGAAAATATTCAAATATTATCTAAGTACGTGCATATACTTTATTTTAATAATTTTTCTGTTGATGTTTGACAGTAAACATAAACACATAGTGGTTTAGCAAAATATATTATAATTATTATTTTTTTAGCAGTAAGTTGTGTGTAACAAACCAAGCCAAATATTTTACTATTAAATGAGAAATTAATTTTATATTTCATAGAGTATGTGTACACTCGTTTTATTAAATTATCTAAAAACCAAACACACAATACACACACATACATGCACATCAATAGGCTATATCCTGAATCCACGAAAATGCTTAAAATATATGATTTAATACATTAATAATATTACAAAACTAAAAAATATTTTTTTTAAATTTATTTTTAACAAGATATTGTTAAATTTTTTGTTATTAATTAATTAAAATAACCTATCTATGTATTATTCATGTTTTGTATCTAATGTAATATCTGCACACGACACAAAAATTGTCCTTGCTTATGTATTCGTTGGCGTGGATCTAAGGGGTTGAGTCGCCCCCTTTTAGTTATACCTAGGTATATTATGTATTTAGTATAGTTTAGTAGCTTACAGAATTAGTGTAACCAATTATTAAACAATTATTTTTATAAAATAAATTATTTTACTAATTTTTCATTATTATTTTCAAACAATGAAAATATTGATTCAAAAAAAAATATTATTCATTTCGATTTTTATTAGTAAATAAAATATTTTGGCTAATTTAGTGATTAAACTTTTAATTGTTCTTAAAAATCCAATGCCAATAATTCATACTAAATCAATAGACGTATAGCTTTTTATTAGTTCTAAAAGTTCAGATGAAAAAAACATTAGTTGTCTAACCAAACTAAAAAATTTGCACTGTTCTTACTGTAAACTTGTGCACATTTTTTTATGGACTTGCAAATACTTGCAAAATACCATAATTATGATTCGAACGTGTGGATGAAAAAATGTGGGTTACGTGAACCCATGAACTTGTAAAGTTGGTCCACCTCTAGATATTTGTTTTTGTTCCACAATTGAATATTGTGAGTTGTGACTCCATTTTTTTATTGGTGAAAATGCAGAGTGCAATAACTAATAACTGTGTAAGTAGGATATGAGATTAATTTTTATACCAGTAAGAACTAAGAAGTACAGGGGGAAGAAATAATAGTTTTCTGTGTCATAACTTACAAACAAAGAAGATGTCAATACAACTCATAAAATTAAAAATAAAACTTTCAACTTTTGAAAAATAATGGTTTTGTATACTATTAAGTATGCAACCTTTTTGTTTGAGAAATATAATTTTTATATTATATGTAAAACGTACGCCTGCTTGTCATTTTAACAGGCCATCAATTTAAATTTACTTTTAAAGTACTACACGTCTATAGCATAGTAGTAACATACTACTAGTTACTTGTAACATCGTCGGTAAACCGTATGCTATAAGACAGCCTTTTTTTGGGGCTCAGGAGGTATTGAAGTTCATGACCCTGTCGTAGACGGGCATCAATATATGTCTTATAGGTAAGAATATTTTGTACATACTAATTAATTGAAATAGGTTGGACCAGCGAAGCAAGATGTGCTGAGGCGACGCTAATAGTTTTTTTTATATAATATCGCCGCACTCATAGGTACGAGCAGCACCGCTGTTGTCATACAAATCGTCAAGAGTGTAGGTGTGACAGCCCAATGCGTATTGTATCCAATATTTTACATGTATTAGCAGCATTGCTAAAGCAACAAATGAACCAAAGGATAGCCGCCACTAGAGAGCCTTAATAATATATTATATGTAATTATATTATTAAGGTTCTCTAGCTGCCACTAATTAAATGTTGTATGTCTATGTTATTTAACCATAGGTGCTGTGTAATTAATAAAACTATATACATAAATGTATAGTCAATATTGCCATTTGATGGCCTTAAATAATACATTTTACCAAAATAAGTACTTACATAGTACACTAGTTATTCTTAATGATTAATGAACAATTATCTACGAGTTACAACTAATTAGATAACATCAATATACAATAATTATAATAAATATTTGTCTGTAGGTATAATTTTTAGTGTTTAGAAATTTAAGATTTAAAAAATATATTTTTCAGCATACTTAGATAAGATAATTATTAATTTACAAAAAATATAATAAAACTTTATTAATAAAGTTCCTACTCATAATTGTCCTTATCATAGATAATAACTAATAATAATAAGTATAATACAAAATATATAACCATGATAATTATTATTTATCTAAAAGTAATTATATTAATAATCATCACCATCATCTAGATATTGTCGAAGTCGTCTTCCTATTAGCTTAGGATAAGTTCGATTGCGTTTTTTAAATTCTTTGCTTTGATGTGTTACAGCACCATGCTGAATTTGAAAATTACATAGAGCATTTAAGGGTTTCAGCAACATATTTTTGTATGATTCATCTTTTTCTAGCACTGTTAATGCTTCAATCGCAGTTTCTAAAGTAGAAAGACATCCGTCTGTTGGTTGGGTCCTGATGATATAATGACTTTCATATTTGTGCATCAATTTCACCTAAATTATTCAACGAGATTTAATGTTATAAAATTATATAATGTGTTAGGTATATTAATATACAATCCAATAATTAAAAAACAGATTTGAAAATGTTCATAAAATGCAATGAAACCTGGCAACCAGACTATTCCAGACATTCATGAGACCATCTATAGCGTCCATGCTAGACAGTTTTAAGAGTGAAATGTAAGGGTTATATATATTATAGATATATTGTTATATTTACTAACTATTATATTATATGTGTTAGCAAAATAATTGAATAATTAATGTAAAACAGAATAATGGGTATTGCATATTGTTTTAAAGGTTAAAATAAGATAATACAAAATGTTTTATCTATATTTAATATTGACCAGGTATGCATTAAACGTTATGATTGTTTGCGATAAAATCTTTGGTGGTATGTAAGAACTATTTTTTTTGTACTGTGCTAACTTTATTTGAATTTGAACTGATATTATCCATTATGGACAATACCGAGAGCCACTGGGGAGAAATGTTATTGTCCATGTCCATAATTAAATATCCGTTTTATATAATATATCAAAAATTCAAAATATGTTAAAATACATAATATATTTTTGTCTGGACCTTATAATTTTGTCTGTTATTTACAGATGTCTGCTAAATCAGGTTTCACTACAAATATAAGTAGTATTAAAATATAGGTAGTAATACCAGGCATATTCGTATGCAACTGTTTAGTAATCAATATCTCACAATACCTAACTTTTCTCAAATCAACATAGGGCTGAAGATATTGATATATCAATGATATATATATCACTGATACTTCAGTTTCATAGTAAATAATAGCATTTCAATATTTTTTATGTTCCAGTTCCTTTGATACTTTAAAATTTTAGTGTTTTTAATAAATAAAATATGTTTTAAAAAAAGGGGCGAAAGCATGATGATTGAGTAAGTAAGTTACCATTAGTCCTAGTTCAGTTGTGGTTCGAGTAATAAGTTTGTTATAACTAATAGTTTAAATTTACTGTAAAAATGTTCAAAAACACTTATTTGATGGTTATAAATTATAACAGATACATTTATTTTATATCTTTGATACTTAGAAAAAAAAAAGATTTGGAGAGAGGGAGGATACAATTGACACATAGGTTGATACAAACATTATTCAATAGCCTCCTTAACCACAATTCACATAGAAATTAATTAAATTATATAAATACTAACATGTATCATTGATTGAAGCAGTTGTGTATTATTGTAAATAGCTTTTGCTTGTGGCCAAGTACCATCAAGTATAATCAAATTATGAAGTTCAGTTTCTTTTGGTAGATCAACTATATCAATTGCTTTTTTAGAAGGATACAATAAAACAGAGTGTTTAGATGACAATATATCCCACAGGCCAACATGTCTGAAAAAAAACGTAAAACTTCAGATATTATTCTTCTTATTAAGAACATATATATGCAAAAGCTAATAAGTACTGATAACTGTAGGCATAACTCAAAATTCAATATAAATTAATTATTAATTAAATGAAACAAAAAGAAATTTATGTAAAATAAAGTGTAAATAATAATAATACCCACCTATAATAATACACTAATACTATATTATAGGTTTAAACTAGTTATATTATAGATGATGTTGAAATGAAATATTTAAGTGCATTTTGAGACTTTACCATTTGACCTAATTTCTAAAGGATAGATAGTTTTTATTAAAATATTAGTTATAAAAGAATACTATTGCTGGTCCAGGTGTTGAAAAAATAGTACAGGTAACAATAATTTTTAAGTATACAGCGATTTTTAACCTTTTGTGGCACGGGAGCCCTTGGGAGCACAAAAAAGTTTATACAAGTGTGTTAAATAATAATAGTATAGGGATAGCCTCCATGCCGATCATGAATACACGCATCTGCGTATATAGTGTGAACCATAGGTTAAAAACCGCTGACTTAGAAACTAATTATGTGACTGAACCCGAACACTCATATTAAAAGATAATTAGGTAAATGAAAAATAATTTATACCGGCATGGCATTAAAATCAAATAGTACAAGTTACTATATTATAAATTAATCACAAAATAAATATTCTTACATTTATTTTATACTATGATATCTACAATTTTTATTGCAAACATGTAGTCTGTAAATAATTCAAATATAAACATGATTTTAAAGATAAAATATTGTTATTTTATTAAATTTGTAAATAATTGTAATATTTAGTGATGGGCATAATCGAGTGAACATAATCGAGTTACTCGATTGTTGATAATAATCGAGATATCTCGATTATTAAAATAACAATCGATTATGTAACCGAGTGATTTTTCACTCAAACTATAGTAACTCGAGTACTCGTTACTCGACTACTGAGGTACCTTATTCGAAACTTTATTTTTAGAATCCTAAGTTCAAAACTCCGAACAGGGTAAACGGTAAAAACTAAAGAATTGAATGAATAATATTTTATATTAGTCATTACTTAATATTTATATTTTAGTCATGGTGCACTATGTTATTATTATTGTTGTGTACGGTGTACGTTATTACATAGGAATACCTGCTTTCAGCGTCTCATATCAAGTAAAAATGACTTAAACTGCAATAAATGGGAAATATTATTAGATTGCATTCATATTTTAAAACCGTTTGAGATTATGACTGCTGAGTTATCGGGAGAAAATTACATAACTATTTCTTCTATTATACTGTTAATTAGAGGCTTACAACATATAATAAAAAGTGTACAAATAAAAAATACTATAGGCGAAGCATTTAAAACTACCTTAATAGATGTAGTCAATCGGCGATTGGGGCATTTAGAAAAGAATAAGATTGTTGCAAAAGCAACATTTTTGGATCCTAGATTTAAAAAAACTGCTTTTGGATTACTCGAAAATGCTAATAATGTACAAAAATGGATATCAGACGAACTAACACCGATGATAATATGTGCAAATAACGATATTTATAATACTGAAGTAAATAAAATTCAGTCTACAACAACAGCATCAACTTCTGATACAAGTAATTCAATTTGGGATCATTTTGATAATAAAGTTTCACAAGTTCAATCTTCGTCGAGTCCATCTACAACTTCAACTTTGATTATTCGCCAATATTTAGAAATGCCACTGTTGGATAGGAAAAAAAAATCCATTACATTTCTGGAAGCAGCATAAAAATACCTTTCCAGAGTTATATAAAATGCAACTGAAGTATTTATGTATACCGGCTACATCAGTTCCTTCGGAACGAGTATTTTCAAAAACGGGGCAAATAACTAACGACCGTCGGAGCAGATTAACTTCAAAAAATCTAGATTATATAATTTTTTTAAATAGTAATTTAAATTTTTTTAAGTAATTACAATTGTTAAATTTATTAGTAACTATTATTATTTATGTCTAAAATAATTTGCCAGGTTAACGTTTAAAATGTTTAAATAAAAAATGAGATTATGATTTATGCACATTTTTATTTATATTGATCATTTTGACTATTACGAATACCTATTAATAACAAACTAATACTATTCCAAGTTATCATATTAATTGAACATTTTGCGTAATTATTTCGATTGATGATTCGATTATGAAAATATGTATATCGATTATATGTAATAACTAATATTAGTAATATCAATCGTAAATTTCGAGTGATTATTTCGAGTGATAACTCGATTATAATAATATATTGATTACTAATAACTTGATTATAGAAATAATTCGATTATGCCCATCACTAGTAATATTGTACAGGTATATCATATACAATATATTGTGTATGTTGAGTATATTTCTATCATTGTAATTGTAAATGTAAAAAATGTGTAGATATCTAAGAAAATAACTGTCTACCTTCAACTCTAGCTTGGCTTATAAAATATTTTCTTAATACTTGTTGTAATTATATTATTTTCACAAATGGTTAATAGATAAAATAAACAATTTATCTACTTTTCAAAATTAATAGTATAAATCTAATGTATTTATGAGACTAACCAATAAGCATAATTATTCAAGTAAACAATAATAATATAATAAATATTTACTTTTTTGTAGGAAATTTTTTCCCTTTATAAACAACACAACTTTCTTCTGCCAACCCCAATGTCAACATCGGAGCAGTACGAAGACTTCTTTTTTCTTCTGCTGGATGTTGCAGTAGAATAATTCGACATTTAGGCTTTAGCCTTGTTTTGGGCAAATAATTACACCAACATACATTTTGAGGTCGCCTGAAAACAAAATATTCAGTTTATGTGATAAATGTATGTACTATACTTAATAAATTAAATAGATACATTATAAGGAATTATATTTAAAGTTAAATATATATCTTATTTTTAATAAAATATGATTTATAAGTGATCAAATAACATTAAATACGGCATACAAGCTTATGCTTAGTATTTTGAATTAAACTCACTCGCATGAAAAACATATTTGACGCATTTCAGGAGGGTCTGCAGGTAAATTTATAAAATCATCCCAGACATCATCAACCTCCTCTTTAGACATGATGGCCAAAATATCAAATTTCTTTAGTTGTATGCTAGTTTTTATAGTTTCTATATAAAGTAACATAGGATAATTATAATATTAATAAATAATACTTTTTAATACAAAATAATAAATGATATAGTAGTGACTTACCGAGATAACTAAATTAAAATATATTATGCATTTAATTGATTAATAAAAATACACAGCAAACACTACTGCCATACAAAAAATAGTTTCCTAAAATAAAAAATATTTTCAATTTAATACCTTTAAATAAAAGTAATTTAAATTGTATACTTTCCATATACATGATTAGTAGTTAAAAATATTTAAAAATAGAAAGTCAGGTAATTATATGACATTATAAAATAAATTTACATTTAAAAACTGATCAGAGGCTTGTGTGTCAGTATCAGCATCCCAAATACAACGCGCTCCAACTTTTGTACCAGCACCGTGTCGTTCACCCAAAACAACTTGTACCAATAACTTGTAACGGCTGTCCACACACTGATCTATAAATTAAAATATTGTATCACACAACTAAAAGTGGTTGTTATTTGTATTCCTTAAAATATACAGATATACAAAAACAATTATAAATGATGATATTTAAAATAATTTGTTCAATGAAATAATATAGAAGTTATTATTTTAAAACCAATAATAATCTGCTATTTCACAGACAAAAATTTATAATAAGTATTTTAATATCACTAATGAATAATGAACATATCAATTTATGAATTTGTAAAGGAAAATAAATAAAACCTTTAAGTCTATCCTTGATTTCACTTGCAATAGTTTTGCAAAGTACTTCAGCTTGAATTTGACTATACTCTTTATCCTTCAGGTATTTGAGAAGAGTTTCTTGAATAGCTTCTTTTGCAATATGAGTTTTGAATCTAAAAAAAATATAATAAAATTACAATTATTTATAAATACAATTACATTAAGTATATAAATTTGTCTATACCACATTTTAATAAATTATTGAAAATATATTTGACATTTTTGCTTGAGTTGAACCACACGAGTTTCAAAAATGTATTAAAAATAACAAACACAAAATATTTTATTTTTTTTAATTATAATTATTTGTACATACAAGCTGTATAAACATACGTTTAAAATGTAATGAATTGTATTATTATCATAATTCATTGTACGACTTACTTTTGATTGTGTGTAGGTCTGATTTGGAAATTATGAACTTGTGATTTATTATTATCGTCGATAGCTACTTCGGTCTCTACTTTGAGTTTTGTTGACATAATTTTTAATCGTGTAATTTATCTTGTCCGTCACTAAAATGTATTATTTGACATTTAATTTCAGACATGAGTATTGAAATTCAAAATATCGTTTTATTATGTCACGTTTCGATTTAAATTTGATTTGGTTTTTAATATCACCACAGAATAGATAATAAACTAGATAACTACTATCAGTTATCACAAAACAACTGGAAATTCAAGCACTAGCGCTTGTACATTATAGTGACAATAAATGCGGCTATTCAAAGAAAAATATTAAATTTTTTCCCCGGTTTTCACTATTTAACTCATAATAATAATTATTAATTATTATTTATTACTAGGGCTCGGATTTATATGTATTTATTTAACCAAAGTATGTATTTATACAACAAAAATATGTACATAAATATGTGCTAAAAAATGTATAATATATATTATCAAAAAACAAAATTATGTACATAAATATGTGCTAAAAAATTTATAATATGTATTATCAAAAAAAAAAAAATATTTTTATTAATTAAAATGAAATGTAATAAAAAAAAATATTTATCTAACTATCTAATTATTATGGTTACAATTAATAATAACATGCATTTTTAAATTTTCGAATTCGAAAGATCGCCGATTATGTCGTAAAATTGATTTATATCGACTGAAAGATCTCTCAACTTCGACTGATGTTATAGGACAATATTGCATGTTGACTATGTCTGAAGGAGAAAGTTCTACAGTATTATTTTGTACTTTTTTAAACATGGGCAAGTCTGTATTAATAAATAATAAATCGTAAATGAACAAATTATCGAAATATGTAGGAAAAATGGAATTATTGAGAAATATGTAAAAACATGTACTTATGGCAAAATATGTAAAAATATGTAAAATAAAATATAGTTCATTTTATTGGAAATCCCTTGAAACTAATTTTTCATTTACCTAAATTAATTTATCAATTCACAGTAAAAATATGTATTTACATATAAATCCGAGCCTTATTTATTACACATAAATACAGTGTTCATTCGAAAACATTCTGAATACTTTGATTAAACAGGGACGGTCGCTGCGCGAGTGAGCAACAGGAGTGACAAATCTTACATTGACAAGTGACCATGTCAAACTCAAAGAACCGTCTGGGCCTAGAAATTTAGATGGATTTTTAGCATAAGTAAAAAAAACCGGGGTTTGAAGATGGCTATCTCAATTTCGATAGTCATAGAACTATAGAAGAGCTATTTTCCATGAGCTGCAGCTGTACCTAGTGTATTCCATCATCACTCGCCACTTGTTTTCGCATCGCCTTGTCCATGATATAGTTGTGCAGTTTTCCTACCTCCAAATATTATGTTTGACTGTTTTTTTTATGTACATTTTTATGACCAACTCAAAGTTTATGGGGTGCTATAGCGTAGCGTGCGATTCACCAGCTCGTTTCTGGTGTAGCGTGCGATCTACCAGCTTATTTTTGGAAGTATAAAATATAAAATATAAAATTCATAAACATAATACAAGTTTCCTTTTAGACAATTTAGTCGTCGTTAATTATATATGTCTCCCGCATATCTTCTAAAAATGCAATGAACAAATCTGGTTACTTTTCCGCCACATCTTCCAGCAATACTGAACCAAATGTGACTGAAGCATAATATGGATAGGTACGGCTCTCTTTTTCTTCAGTATGGATATTTTTGCATCCAACCACGATCTTTCAACACCCTGTGTGTGCGCACCTGTTAACTGGTCAACATAATTTTCTTGATGATTAACAGTTTCACGAATGAACCCTTCTGGTGTTAAACATCGGTATGAGGACCACTCATCTGAGTGAATGACAGAACCACCTTCACATTCCCTTTTAATAATAGGTAAAAGAGTATCCTTGTCACGACGTTCTACGTAAAAATACCTACTGCCATTTCCTTGCTTAAGACCGGAAACCCACGGTCCATCAACCCTGACACCATGGTTGCGGTTGTTTTGGACCTGTGGCCCCTCATCCGTATTTGCTGGTGGCTTATCTCCACCTAACATGCGTCCACGGTTATATTTTCGACGACCGGCGAAGCGGGCTTCGTCTATTTGAATGGGGTTGACATGTGTGCCAAGCATTTTTGTTTTTTTTTTAATTACAGCAGTGCACACTTCACGACACAAGTTATACCAATCGGTGATCGTTTTTTTGGATCTTTCAGTAAGTTCAGCCGCCTGAATGAGAGGTATTTCGATGACAAACATGAACACTATTTCCATAATCTCGCTAAGTGTTAGATTACATATTATGTTACTCTGTTATTGGGGTCCGTAAAGTGAAAAAAGGCATTTCCTTGGCGAACTGAACGAAAAGTTTGACAACCTTTTTTTGGGCACCTGAATATAGGCACAAATTCACCATTACGGTTCTTCCGTCGTTTTTCACACATCTCTGTGCCACACTTATGCCAAGGGTCAATATTATTCACATCTTTTAAAAGTTGGTATTCTCGTAAGAATGCAGTGCACGCTTGCTCTGAACTTGCAACACGAATGTAAAAATCTTTGAGAAGCATGACGGAACTACCTAACAAAAACAAAAAAATGACGGAAATAGACGAAAATAATGGAAATAATGACGGACAAGGACTACGTGTGCCGTCGAAATCGGAAAGTACACTAAATTATTATCGACTATCGGAGACGAAATAATAATAAAAAAAAAAATCGTCGTTAACGATGAATTGCCGATAAAGAACTGGATAGTAGGTAATGAGTAGATCACAGGTAGAGCACACGCATAGGCGGTACTACGGGAGGGGCAGGGTATGCAACTGCCCCTCCTGTGGACCGTACCTTATTATTGCATACCTATAATATATAATTCCTTGAATTATCGATTTCCTAACTCTCAAAAAAAGGAATTTTTATAGTGATTACCTAGTATAGTAGTGTAATATAATAGATAAGAATCTTATTTTTGGTCTAATAGAGTAAAATATATAAAATATAGTTTTAACTATTTTCTGGCCCCCCCTGCCAAGAGGGTCTTTTTTTTTTTTTTTTTTTTTTTTTTTTTTTTTTTT